TGTTTTATTGTGATTGCAAACATTTGGTTTTGACTTGAGAAAGCTTAATCAATTCTGCGAACCCTGGCTAACTGAACTTATTGTTAAGCACTACTTGAGAACTGATTAATCCAGTTTTATGAAGTATTTTAGTGAAGAATAACCCTAATCTCTTAATTGTTTCAAAGTCAAGTTGATTTTGTACTACCTTAAACCATTGCTTTCCTAATTTCATTTCACAAACTCTTTTACAACATTTGTCTCACTTAATCTAATCAAGAACACAACTATGATTTTTAACTTATCTAGCCTTAGTCTCTAAGGGAATGATACTTTTTATATTACTTGTGACTCGCCCGCTTGCGGTTTAGCTAATCGGCGAACAACAGGCATTGCGGTGCCTCATACTGAATGCCATCCTTCCTCTCTGTTGGAGCTATCGTGGTGGTTTTCTTTATGTGCCATAGTGAATGGTGTATCTTCAGCTTCTCTACTTTTGGTTTTCCATCCTTGCTCACTCTAGGCCCTTGATTTTCCCTTAATTGCCCAAAATTGGCTAAATCTTCCTCCTTGTCATTCATTTCACAGCTCTCGCTGTTTCCTACACAAAGGATCTTAAAAGCATTGCAAAAATAATTCTCTAATGTTAGCATAAATTAAGTTCACTTAACCAAACCATGTTTTCTAACTTCAAGAGGAAACACAATTAGCTTCCAAAATCCAAGAAAGAGTGTTAAAACAAGTTGAATTAGTAGGAATTTCAAGAGGTTATCACACCCCCAAACTTAAGCTTTTGCTCATCCTCGAGTAAAACAACAAACCAGCAAACTAGGTAACAAATTGTACACCAAAAACTGTCAAAATGGTTGCATCCTGATCAATTGCTCCAAGAAATATACAAGGTAGAAAATCATCACCCAAAAATGCAAGTTTTATGAGCTTAAAACAAATTTTAAATGATTTTGGAGTATGAGTGTGTGTATAGAGTCAAAGAACATCTCTCATGCCAATGTCCAAGCAGAGTGTGAAACCTTAGCTAATATACTAACCTTCAACCATATAATTTCATAAACCTAACTCCTTCTCCCTTTACGTCGACAACTCACCCCACATAAATTCAAAATCAAAAGGACTTTTTGACTTGTAAAGTGGTCAAAAGGTCATGGTTCATGAAAGATAAGAAGAACAGGACATGCAAATACTTTGAGATAAATAGTTGACTGTCATTAAAACTCATTCCAACCACTTCCATTCCCCTAAACTTATACCAAAACTAATTCTCTTCTCACTAAGCGTTTATAGAATTGAACTAAATATTTACATACCTTTCTCTCTCTCTCTCTTTCTCTATTTTTTTAAAATAACTATAAAGAGTCATAAATCACAGCTTGCTTTCTGAATACTTTGAATTTTCTCACAATTTCCATACCCCTTGCCAACCTTCCATAATTTCAGCATACCATCACACTCCTTATCCCTTCTGCTTCCATTTACCTCAAAGGTAGGGAATTCACGGTCTTTCTTAATTGGTTTTGGGTTAGGAAGAGGTTAGGATTCAAAACAATTCTTTTTTTTTTAAAGGGCTTAAAACATAGGTTCAAAAGAGAAGATCATTAAGGTCAGCTTGAAAGGCTCAATGCATTTGAGAATTGTCCTAATCATTTTTCAAATTCATATAGAATAAACCATAAACTTTGAAAAATCAGAAGAAGGTTATGAAATTATTGAATTGAAACAAAGTATAAAGGCTAATTTATCACACTCAACCTCAACATAAGCATTTGAAATATTTTGACCCCCTTTTGTTCATTAATTTTCCCAAAATTAAAGAAACATATGTTTTAGACTCACAATTCAAGCATCAAGAATCAAATCACAGCTTCCTATCAAGCATAGTGACTAAGCGACTGCTCAATCATTGGACCATTCATACAATTTCAACTAACAACTCGTCACTTTAGTTCATCTTTCAAAATACCAAATGAGCAAAAATTTAAGTTCACAAAATTTCCACTATTTCAACCATTTTTTCTTTTTACTCAAAATATTTACCCAACAAAATAAACTTTTCAAAACCAAACTTGTTATCCACAAAAATAAAAATCAACCCCTACCCCCAAACTTAAAATTGACAGTGCTCTCATTGTCAACAGGAGTTAAGTGAAGGTTATCAATCATGCAATCAAAACCATAAAAACTAGAAATCTGTTGCATGAAAAATCAAAATTGGTACTTGTTCCTGTACAAATATAGCAGTATGTGTAACTATCACAAGTATAACAATTAGATAACCCCAATGAAATCAACAATTGCTATTGTTAACTACAGAATAATCAGTATTGAAATCAGACAACTATCAAAATATTCAACAGTTTAGCAGCAGTCAACTTAGTTATAAGCATAAGCATTGTTCAGTAGTCACAATAAGTCAATAAGGCCATTAGTAGCCTTTCCATAAACAAATAAACAAGTAAGAGAATGCTAAACAACAAAGTCACTAGAAACTTCAAACAACACAAATGAAAGCAAAATAAAACAGGTAGCAACAGCAGCAGCAAACGGCCCCAGCTAGTCATCCTCATCCTCAGTCTGGTCACCCCCTTGATTTGCATCGTCCTTAGTAAGCAGATTGATAGCCATGTCATCTCCTTTACCAAGACTGGTACCAGAAGCTCTAGCTTCATCTTCCTCCTCATTCGACTCTTCTTCATACTCAGCCTCAATGCTTGTTTCTTCAACATTTGGCTTATTAATTTCTAGTTTTTGTGTAATTTGGACCAACAGCTCCTCCATGCGCCTTTGTCTTATACCTCCTGTGATGTATCTCTCTGTCCAACTTCTCATGGAGGAGATCTAAACTTTGAGCGGTAGGGGCAGAGCTAGTATTGGCTCAAGCTTCCTGTTCCCTCCTATAGTCACTGGGAACTGTTCAACATATATCTGTTTAGCGATACGCTGCTGTTCTCATTCGGAAGCTATTGTGGAATAGTTGAATTTTGATACTGGTTTGAAATTTAGATCCTTTTCTTTCCACTCTACTCCTCCTTTAGTTAACAAATCTGAAATCAGGTGGGGCATAATGAGATTGGTATTGTGGCTCCTGCTGGCATCCCATATGGCGTTGAAAATCAAATGCTCTATACTCACAATTACTTTGGTCATGAGGAGATAAATTAGAAGGGCTAGATTTCATGGGTTCTTACTCAGATGACTAGTTGGCATAATATTTCTGGTGACAATATGCAATCATATTCTCACCTCATATGTCATGTGCTTTCGCAGAATGTAGGCCTGGCCCTTTTTAGGTCTCATCCACTTATCCTCCTCTGAATCAGTAAGTGTCGATGAGATTGTACTAAGAGGTATTTCTTTCTGGTTAGTCAGGTACCACTGATATTGATATTTTTCAACTGTTGGAAGTTGGTAGTACTCTCTTATCCGCTCTAGAGTAATGAGGACAGATTGGTACCTAATGAACATCTCATTACTCAAATTTGTGGCCACCCTAACATAAAACTTCCAAACCAACTTCTCATTTCTTGGGGTTTTGGGTCTAATTAGATTCAAGAGCTTCATCTTCCCTGCTTTCTTGTAAAACCCAAATTTGTTTGTGTATGACAATTCACGCTCTTGATGTAACCCTCTCCTGTGAATTGGCTCCTTGATAGGGGGATCAGGGGAGGTAGCATGGGCTTTCTTCTTGGGAGCCATTTGGTTGTTTCCTTGCACAAAATGAACAAAGCACACCACACACAAACTAAACAAACAAACACCACAGACACAAAACCACTGAGAAAGAAAAACAAAGTTATCTTAAGAAAAAGAAGGATCTCCCTAAAACTTAGATCAAAGATTAAGATCATAGGTTAAAGCTAAGTAATCTTCAACCAATCCCAAAAGCACACTCTCACCATTCTTTAATTCCAATCCACTATTAGTTCTTAAGGACCCTCAATCCAAATAGAGCTGCACAAAGGTTTTATAAAAGGGTTTCAAAGATAGGCATCCATCAGTAGATGCCTATTCAGAATGATTTCTAAAGAACCTGCCCAAAAACTCAAATTGAAAAGCAGGAATTTAACATGCGAGTAACCCATTTTCTTAAGAAGAACAACATTGCAAACTGAGTTTCACTTTTATATCACAACTTGGGCAGGGTAGAACCACCATTTGGAAATTTTCTCAAGTACCACATAGATTTCAAGTGACATACTTTTTCACAATTGAATGTAGTACATTTTCTCTTTCAAATAATGCATAAGATATTCTATAGAAATTTGCTTTTGAAAACCTTCTCAAAATTAACCCTATTCTAACCACAATCAACCTCAGAGAATCAAACCCCCCCTTATCTTTGGTTCAAACTTCACTCCAAACCACAATATACCTCCTTAGGATCACACTTCCTAACTTTCAAAAGAATAAACTAAACAAACTAAAATAAAGAATGAATATACCTCTGACAAAGAACAAACAAACCATATGAAAAAAAATGGAGAGGAGACGGATGAACCAGAGGATGAACACTAGGGGCTGAAAAGATAGGGGATGGTGATAGACTCTTTTGTAGGAGCTTATCAAAAATGCTAGTTTGCAGAAAATATGTAGTAATTGTGTAAGTCCTAGGTCGATCTCTTGAGGAGCTAAGATTCCTTGAAAATCAGTTAACAGAGTATTCAACAAATTAAGTTGAAGAAAAGTTATCCTATGCAAATTGTTGGTTTATAAATTCTTTTAAAGAGTAGAATAAGAAGGAAAATGATTAGAAGTAGAGTATTAAAAGAACAGAATTGAAATCAACAAATTGGAAGAATTCCTTTAGAGAGTCACCTAGCCTTCACTGCCTATCAAGATTTAGTTTGTTTAGATTAGAAGAAAAATTTGAATGTGCCTTCAAAGATTAAGAAGATGAAATGCATTCAGAGCTCCCAGATGAATACTAAACAGCATCCATTAAATTTTAATCAACTCAGTCACGAATCCGATTTAAACAAATCCAAAAAATCACAACCGAATCTACTCTGAAACAAAAGAGCATTAGACACCTAAACACATAACATCTTCAAAATCCTAATTAAACAATCATAAAGAAATGCACAAACTCAGTTAATAAGAGTAGGAATCACAAGTTCTAAATAGAGACGAGATTTTCCAACTCCAAAAAAATAATCTGAGCAAACTTCCTTTCAAACTTCATGACTCAGGCTTCGGTTGAATCTCTAAAGGAAGAAGAAGATTTAGCTCCTCATGGCCGTAGGTATGGCTTTGGTAGATCTTTGAATTAATTTCCCCATAGCTAAACCAGTGCGAACGACGATTTGGCCAAGAGAGCAAGAAAGTCCGAAAACGAGAGAGAGAAAAAGTGAGAAAAAGAATGAAGTCAAGCCGTGTGGTCCTCCCCCCGTGTGTATCTTTCTTTCTTTAATAATATGTATATTATTTTCATAGATCATCTGGTCCCCACTTCTTTCGTTAATTTCTGTCCAACTTCCGTTCGATCCCCACTTGATTTTCAACTTGAATTTTTGGTCAAAGAAGAGCTACCCACGTGTCCCTCAATGCAAGTTGAATTTGTGTACAGCTGGCCAACACAATTGCTTTTAGACTTTCTTCAAAAACTCCACATTTTAGTGTTCCAAAATTGGCTCTGTACTTTCCCAATTTGCCCCTAAAAAATTGCCATCTGAAACAATATTAAGGCTCTCAAAATATCATTTTTTTCTATTATTTCTAGTTAAAATTTTTCTAAACTCCCATTTATTTTATACAAGCAAAATGTAATTAAGGAGTTTCATTAGATGGCAGCAGCAATGGGATAGACAGAGTGAATCGATGGTGAGAGAGACTGAGGAAAACCAAAACTGATGGTAGAGAAGACAAGGTAGCAACGTGAGTAAGAGAGAAAACTGAGAATGGTTATGGCAAGCTGTTCAAATGAGAGGGAATAAGAGTTTTGAGATTAGAAAGAGAAGGAAAAGACTGAAGGGTTATGGTTTTTAAAATTAGGAGAACAAATTTAACCCAAAAACCGACTAGATACCTAGGGGTAAAATGGAAAATTAAAACTCTTTAGGCTTTTTAACGGAAGAAGGGACAAAATCAGGTATAGAAATCATGCGAGCGCTACGATAGATATGACCTGGTGCCATGGGGGCTCAAACAAAGGGATACAAGCTTTTTGAAAAGACAGACACCACGACGGATTAACACATACCACGGCTCTTGTAACAGAACTAGAGAACCAAGAAGGTTAAATGCCACGGCAGTTTAGTAACTACGCCACGGCTCTTTATACCGAATTGGCACCTGAGTTAGGAATCCGCCATGGCACCTTATAAAACACATCGTGGCGCTTTCATAGAATTATCCTAGAATACCCAGAAACCTTTACCACCTAACTAGATACCTAACCCCCAACACACAAAAGTCACCCACAAAATCACAATCACAGGGACTATACAAACACTCAAAGACAACATACAAACCAAGCCTCAGGTGATCACAAGATCCAGAATAATCCAAGTAACCACAAGAGCTATACTATCAATTAATTTTAAGTTAGGGGAACTTGATATTCCAGCTATAACAGCAAGAGCATAGCTAAGGCTTAAGGAGCACAGTTTAACTTCTTTGAGATTAGGTTCAGGTGCACTTTCCTATTAGCAATGGTTAGAATTCAGCCATTCTTTCTTGCAAGGATCCAAACTTTGGGGAATAAACCTTCATGCCTATAAAAACAAAGATCAAACGTGAACTACTAAAATAGAATCAAAAGCAATAAACAATGTAAAGAAAAGTTCAGAGCTTAGGTCACCTTTCAAGTAGTGCTTGGTTTATAGTCTTTATCCTGACTCTTCAGCTCTTTATGATGACTTAAAGAAATAGATAGTAGAAACTTGACGATCTAGCTTTCTACCTGAGTAATGCTTCAACCGATGACTATTTGCATGAAACCTCTCACCTTGTTATTTTCTAGCTCCACTGCACCATGATTGGTAGCTTGTACCACAGTAAGTGGCCCTGACTAGTATGAGTTGAGTTTGCCTTACTTGAATGCTCACAAGAATATACTGAAGAACTTGAATCCAAGAAAGAACGATATGCAACTAGCTAATGAACATAATAAGTCATTTGTAAAGTGGCTCAAGCAAGAAGTGTTAAAAGATAGCAATCCTTCTGAGACAATACAGAGGCTAGCTGCAGGCCTTCTTTTGAGGTTTTGTGTTGGGGCGGATATGACATAAATGGTGATTCTTTTTACATAAAAACCCAAGACGATAAGAGTACCATGCAGAATAGTAGGGTGATGGTAGTAGCGGAAGCTATGCATTTTGCTAGTTCTAAAGACAGAAACCCAACGTTGGCGGTAATGTCCTATTATGGAATAATAGAAGAGATATGGGAGGTTAGTTATACCAAGTTTAAAGTTCCCGTCTTCAAATATAAGTGGGTTAATAGTAATGCTATGCAAGTGGATGAAGAATTTGGATTTGTTTCGGTCAATCTTGAGAGGTTTAGATATGGAGACGAGCCATTTATTTTGGTAAGTCAAGCAAAACAAGTGTTTTTTGTTCCCGATCTAGCAAAAAAGAAATTGTCTATCATGCTTCAAGGTAAAAGGCAAGGAGTTGGTGGAGATAATGGTGGCTTAGAGCTTAATCTTGATGAAACCCTGCCTTTCACAGCTACTCAACCAAAAACAGTTAAATTATATTTGGTAGATTATGACTATGCTGTGAGAGATAATCATTGTGAAGGAATTTGGGAGGATAATCGTTGTAAGGCTTAAATGAATTATTTGATGTTTTTGTTAAATATACTTAATAATGTTTTATACTAACTTGATATTTCTTATTCTTACATTTATTAATTCATTTTTCTTTAAATAGGAAATGGACGGATCCAGTCAACAAGGTTCTGGCGACGACAACTCTTTTACTAGCCAGAGAAAGGGTAGAGGGCCAACCCATATGAGGCATTTAGTTTTATGTGATGAGACCACACAGCCTATGAGGATTACAGTGGAGTTTGATAATGATTTGAAGCCTATAGGAAAGGCCGGGGCTCAATTTACTAGTTATGTGGGTTATGTTGTACGTAGTAAGATTGGCATTGACATTCCTAGCTGGAAGAAGGTGGATAAAGATTTGATGCAAAACATTTGGGAGGATATATTGGTAATCATGAATTGTTTTCTCTACTTATTTCAATTATAATTGCTTATTTACTTTATAACTCTATACTATTATTGTATTGCAGTTGACATTTGATATTCCCGCCACTGAGTAAATGAGAGACTGTTTGTTTAAGCAACTTGATAAATAGTGGAGGGATTTTAAAGCCACACTTACAAAACATTATATTCGTGAAAAAAGAAAGGGTGAGCATCATAAGGAACGATATTTGTTTATTAGTGACGAGGCATAGGAGAGTTTTGTGAAGCAACATGAAGACCCTGCATTTTAGGTTTGGTTTCTTCAAACTTAGTTTTTAATCAGGTCATATTTTATTTAACTAAACTAATTTTGTCGAATTTGTTTCATTGTCATAGGCATTGAGTCAGAAGAATAAACAAATATTTGAGCAAAATGTGTACCCACATACCATGTCTCGTGCAGGGTATGGTGGGTTGGAAAGAAGTATGATGGAGGAACGGATGAAGAATACACAAATGGCTGCTGTTTCAGATCCTACTGGCTACATTCCACCCATTGAGCGTCCTTCTCGCCAAGAAAAATGGAAGGTAGCGAGGATTAAAAAGGGTCAATACATTACTCCACAGTCTGCGGTTGTTGCTGAGAGGATTGTAAGTAATATTTAAGAATTATGCTTCATTAATTGCTTTTTTCAATTATCTTAAATTGAATTTGTTACTCTAATGTTACAGGATACATTTGAAGAGTAATTATCCCAAGGTACATTCATCCCTTAAGGACGGATGGATATCTTGGCCACTACTATTAAAAAGGCTAACCATCTCGACAGAGTCAGAGGGACCCCTACAGGGATTGGTATTAAAGAATTTTTTGGCTCTGCTTCACGAAGAAGCACTATATAATCCTCCGCTAACATGGTATCTAAAGAGGAGCTCAACCAAGGAGTACAGGAAGAAACAGACAGAGTTCGAGCTGAACTCAGTCAACAACACATGGCAGAGATGCAAAAGATACATGACGAATTCGATGCCAAGCTTCAACAGACTCTGATGATGATGGGCACAAGCAGATTCCAGATGCCCCGAATATCTAAACATTCCCAGGTAATAATCACACATCTTTTCAAATCTTCTAAAGGTTCATTTGATCTATTTAAACTTCTTTAATGTGCCTTAACTAATTTTATATTATGTTTAAGGGTTCACCTATGATAAAAAGCGGGAAGGGCAATAATAATCAACACAGCAACTGACAGTGTCTGGCCCTAACCCTAGCCCTGACCCAGTCGAAGACAATGGAATACCGTGTACTCTCTATGTGGATTATGAAAATTCACCTGTTCATGTCGCTAGTGGTTGAGCATTCATGGGCACAACGATTCACGACAACAAAATTCTGAGCAATCAAGCAAGGGTGACAGTGGAGAGAATTGTTTATGGTCAGGGGGTACACCAGTATCCAATCCTACTAATGAGGTTCAACTCTTGGCCTAAGCCAAAGGACATTTCATTTTGTGGCCAAAGAGACTTATTGCAAAGCCAATGGTAAAGAAGGCGGCAGCGAAGAAGGCCACAACGAGCGTATCATCAGATCCTGTACTCTTGCCTCTTCCTGGTGATGTTGTGCTTATGTATTCCAGTTTGGAGGTTCTTCATTTCATAGTGCCAAATATGGATAAACCTGTTACTTTCAAGATGCCGCTGGGGATTGTGGATTCAGATATAACATACGACTTCACCGTTAACAAGAGGGACCTCGTTCAGTTCCTCAACTTTGAGGACCTTGATATAGTTTTCGTGCAACTCGCTATTTTGTAAGTTACAATATCATTTTCTTATTTTATGTTATACTTTATGCATGTCCTAATGTTTCTTATTTGAACAACAGGCACTTTACTCAAATTTGTCGGAATGGAAGACTTGAAGGAACATATAGTTTTATGTGTCCTCAAAGGGTGCAGAAACAGCTTAATACTATGGACGCGAGGTCGATCTACATGATGACCACAATAGCTCAGACCAGAAAGCTAATATATTTTGTACCTTACATGGAAGGGTAAGTGTATTATTGTATTTGAGATACACAAGTTGTATGTGTAGGATTATAATTAACATGGTTTGTCTTTTATAGTTATCATTGGACTCTAATTGTTTGTGCCCCTTTTGATAACAAAGTTTACTGGTTCGATTCACTCTGTGGAAGTCCATCCGAAGAAACCAAAGATGTCATTGACACGTTAGTTTATGCTTATATATTTATTACTTGTGAAGTTTATAAAAACATGCTCTAATATCATTTTCTTTTATACTGTTGATAGGGCTTTTCATGGTTTTAATGTTATGGCGATTAAACAAAATAGACAACTACCAACATGGATTCTTCTAAAGGTATGTTGTTTTGAACTAACTTTTAAACCTTTTTAGATGAATTAAAGTTAATGTTTATAATCAACAATGTCTAACATTCAATTTTATATTTCATTTTGTTAGTACCGTTGTCAACAAGGACATGTTAAATGTGAATATTATGTCATTCGCTATATGAATGACATCATTGAGACAGGAGTGACTGAGAAATTAGACGAGGTAAAGATGAGTTATGTTGCATGACATTCTTCAATTCATTTCACATTTTTGACTAAGTTTACTATGTTATTTTTGATTGATAGGTATTTCAAAATACTGCGCCATATCCCATGGATGACATCAACTTGATGAGGGACACTTTGTCAACAACATTGGTACAAAATATTGAAACTTTCAAATAGTTAGGTCATTCCCCAAAAATTTATTATTAGATATTTTCTCTTGGTTCCTTCTTATACATGTTCATGATTTCTATTGTAAAGACAAAAGTGATTACTTTTTTTTTTAGAATTGCTGGTTTTCTTGGTTCCTAGTCTATACGTGTTCTTTGGTCTTAGGTTCCCCTTAGTTCTATTGGTTTCTCTATTTTTGCTTTGTGTAAAAGAAATTTCAATGCTGTATATATTAACTAACTAATTGATCTTGTTCTGCGTATTCTGCACTGCCTACATTTATTTGAAACTGTAAACTGCAAAGTAGTAAAAATGAAATCGAGCAGAATTTAAAAAAAAAAAATTTTCAACGGTGGTTATATAAATAATCGCCGTTAAAATAGTTTTCCACGGTAGTTACATAAAAAAACCTCTGTGGAAAGTAAACTTTCAACATCGATTTACTTTCCACGACGGTTTTTTATGTAACCATCGTGGAAATATAACTTTCTATGGCGGTTTCTTAAGCAATTGCTGTAGAATTTTAATTTTCCACGGCGGTTGTTTACTTAACCGTCGTGGAAAATCAATTTTCCACGGCCGTTTTCAACCGCCGTGTTTTGTTTACCTTTCAACATCGCCTGTATCAACTTCGCCTTCAAAACCACCGTGAAAAACCACTATTAACCACCTTTAAAAGCCTTTTTTCTTTGGTAGTGAATAGACTAACAAGTGAAATGCATGAGTAGTAAAGAATCAACTCAAAGTGAGCTAAAGTACAATCATAAAAGAACACCAATGTGCAAATCTTAACATTTTGAGACAGAAATCCTTGCTTTTCAAACCACCATTGAATGCCTTATTTCAAATTTATTCCTTTGTTGCAACTTATTTTCTTTTTATATTTTTTATAACTTTCTTTCTTTGGCTTTTTCTAAACATTTTCTTCTCTTTATTGCCTTTTCTATTTCTTTTTCTTCTTTTGTTTTCTTTCCCCCCCCTTTTTTCCTTTTTTTTGGCCATCCAAAACCCAAGAAGACAAAGATATAGATTTTAATGATGTACTTTTCAAAATGAAAAACCAAATAACTCATGCAAAACACCTGCTAAAAAAACAATGAATGGAATGAAAGTGAAGGCTCAAAGGGGTGAACAAAGGTTAGATGAAGTGGTTTGTGTTTAGGTAAAGGTTTAGAAATGAATGCCCCTATCATCTTCACAAATCTAAGTATTAATGTAGCTTTGAAAAAGAATCTAAACAAGTTCTAGAGGTTAACCAAAACTAGGTGGAAATCACACAAGATGAGAAAGAATACATGGCTCAAAAATCCTTCCATCAAGGCTTTCTCTAAGATGTTTCCTCCTTAAGGGTCAAGCTATGAGACAAGGTTAATAACACTGCACCAAAGGCATTCTACAATGCTAACCAAATTCTCAGTTTTGGAAAGAAGCTATTAAAGCTAAAATAGATTCCTTGAATCAAAATAAAACATGGATTTTGGTTGACTTGCCTCCAGGAGCAAAACCTATTGGGTGCAAATGGGTTTTTAGGAAAAAATATTTTTCAGATAGATCAATTGATAAATATAAGGCTAGATTGGTAGCCAAAGGTTTTACTCAAAAAGAAAACGTTGACTATTTCGATACATTTTCTCCTGTGACTAGGATTTCTTTTGTTAAATCTTGATTGCTTTAGCTTCGATCCACAAGCTTTTTATTCACCAAATGGATGTTAAAACAGCCATTTTAAATGGTGATTTAGAAGAAGAAATTTATATGACCTAACCTGAGGGGTGTATAGTTCTTGGACAAGAAAACAAAGTTTGTAAACTTGTTAAGTCTTTATATGGTTTGAAACAAGCGCCTAAACAATGGCATGAAAAGCTAGACCAAGTTTTGTTAAGTAGTGGCTTCTCTACTGTTGAGGTAGAACGTTGTGTTTACACAAAACTTGTAAATGGTGATTGTGTGATTATTTGCTTATATGTGGATGACATGCTTATTTTTGGTACTAGCATGAATGTTGTATGTGAGACAAAAAGTTTTCTTGCTTCAAATTTTGATATGAAAGATCCGGGTAAAGCAAAGGTCATATTGGGCGTTAAAATCATAAGGAATGAACGTGGTATCCTACTTTCTCAAGAACACTACATTGAGAAAATCTTGAGAAAGTTCGAACACTATAATGTTTCTCCTTTTAGCACTCCTTATGATTCCAATATGCATTTAACAAAACATGAAGGAGATCCAGTTGCTCAATCTAGATATGCACATATTATTGGGAGTCTGTTGTGTTTAATGAACTATACCAGGCCGGACATAGCTTATGATGTGTGTAGGTTGAGCAAATATACTCACTGCCCAAGCAGTAAGCATTGGGAGGCTTTGCTGAGGGTATTATGTTAC